AATATTCATATCTGAGGCATCCATATTTTTGTAGATTTTGATGAGAAGTTGAGTTAATGAAAAACCAATTTGTCCTACTTTAAAATCTGGTTCCTTTTGGTTAACAAAATCAAAGGCTTGTAATGCTGATATCCAATCTCCCTGTCTCAGATAACAAAATCCGAGTAGAAGATAACAGATGGCCGCGTCATTTGGTGATAATAACAAGGCAAATTCTTTTAAAGCTTGCATTTCACTATGAATATGTCCCAAGGAATTCATACTATTAATTATGATGTATCTTGCCAGGAACTCAATAGGAATATTTTTTATTTCATCTTTATCCATTAGCGCCATTTGAAGCACTGTAGGTAGAATAGGACTTTCCACTTTTTTAAATAATACCTTAGCGTTTGAGCTTACCGGTAATCTCTGTATAGAATTTTCAGCATATATGATCGCTTTTTCATGATAATCTTCGATAAAGCAAATCATGGCAAGTGTTATCTGCACATCAGATGAATCATAAATTTCTGTAACCTTTTTATACTGTTCAAACAAATTATTTCGTATTTGATGAGATATAATTCCATTCTTTTTTATTTTGATGAAGTCAATAGTTATCATTGAAGATAATGCCCCGCTCTTTAACTCCTGATTAAGAGATAAATCAAAAACTTCGCAATAAATAGATTTTGCTTTATCAAGATTTCCGTCGTTAAGAAACTTATTACTTTCAAGTAACTTTGGAAGCATTGCTAATTCATTTTTAATGAATTCAATGTTAGTTAAAGCATTGCATGCCTGTGAATATAAGTAATCTTCTTTTGGATAAAATTTGGCAAATAAGTGAATAGTTTTATTAACAGCATCGCGTGCTTTTATATTAATTTCACGAGCGCTACTAATTTTTTCTTCAAGCATTTTGTCTGCAATATCAAAATTTGCTAAGAATGCTAACGAACTCTTTGAAAGTGCAATTCCTAGGTTTAAAGAGCCCAACCCGATATTACGTGCATATTCTTGGGTCCCTTCTTGATATAGTTGACATTGCAATGATTCTAATTGTTTATATGTTTCCAATGATTTTGAAGGCATCTTAGTACTATAAGCGTTAACAAGTGCAGAATATATATTTGCCTTAAGATCTAGTTTATTAATATGGTGATCATTATAGAAATTTAAACATTGTTCTAGCAATTCTATACGATAAGTGCCATCCACCCATGTATAACCAGCTGC